TGGAGATCCACTTGAATGCATATCCCTTGTGTTTATTTTGATACAAGGCAAGAGGCAAGTCACTCAAATCGATCACTAGTGCTTTCCCATCCCCCTTGAAATTGATTGTTACTATCTGTTCCCCTTGAGGAGATTCAGACAATGATGCTCCCCCTTAAAACTGATTGTTACTATCTGTTCCCCTTGAGGAGATTCAGTTGGGATGCCAAAAGCAAGGATGCTAGCATCATCTCTCATGGACAACATTATGAATGACAGAGTGGATGATTGAGAAGTGGGGGATCCTGCTTCAGGCCTTCCAATAAAATCCTCCCCCTCGTGACATCTTGACTTTACCAAGCTAGTTGTCCTCTCAGTCTCTTGTATTTGTGCACTCAGAGGACCTACAACTGATATAGAACTTTTAACTATCAGAATAAATGTTGTCCTCTCAATGAAAATTGTTTCCTTTGTCATAATTCTTTGAAAAATAATAGTTGAATCAAAAACAAAAAAAAAGAGATCCAAACCTTCCAAGATTTCTCCGACCATAACTACCTTAAATATAGTGTCTTCATCGCTTTGGTGCTTCCATAGCAAGCGATTGTGCGTGCTTTCTTCTTGGCCACATGAGCAACAACCATTGCCTTCTTGTCTCCTTCATGGGCATCAGCGGCCTTTCAATTCTCTTTGGTCATTCCACCGAAGGGGCATCCACCTTATTGATAATCATTGGTTTAAGGTATTGATAGACCGATATCTGGCACCCCCAAATTTTGTTAGCCTCTAGCAATACCCTAGCTGACACTTTCCACTTTGCTTGTATTGGGGCTTCACCGGACAGAATCGTCTAGATGAACCATCCCTGCGGAGAGGAACCCATGCAAAAGCAGGGCTTATAATCTTTCACTTTATTCTCCAATCCCAATAGATGTAACTTGCCTACCAAAGAAAATTGAACAAACATGTTCGAAGAAATCTTGAATGAGAAAAATAGCTAATGAGGTCGATGAACCATGGAATCCTTAATCAACGACAAAATATGACAAATATCATGATGACTGCAATGGACTTGGGCTTGATTTAGGCGGGGATGATGCCATAGCGGATGAAGATGGAATGCATGTTGGGACAAAGGAGCAGTTAAAGATCAAATCAAAATTCATCTTTGTAGAAGAGGAGTTTGACACCAAATAGAGAGGTAGCTTGATCAACCTCACCAACAACCCGAGGCTTGATGGTAGGATCGAATACATGGTTCTCCTACAATATATCAAATTCTCCATGGGGCATCCAAGATCGATCGTCAGGGCAACCAACCAAAAATCTTGTGAAGAATAGTGAGGAGCAATCAAGCAGAGGCACACAAAATAATGAATTTGGAGAGAAAAGAAAAGAAAAGAAGATAGAGCAAGCATGATCTCACCAAACCCATCTCCTTTATATATATAGGAGAACAAATGTAGTTCAAATGTCGTATACATGGTAAATGAAATTTAAAAGTCATTTTCATAATGAGCTGATAACTGGTTCACATCGACATAGAAAATGAGACAAAAAAAAATTTAATTCTAGAAAAAAATACTTAAAATTTCAATACAAACATTCAAAAATTGGTCTAAGACAAAATAATTTTTCAGAGGATCAGTTGCCCTCTTCGACGTAGACATACTCTAGTCAAAGCAGCCTCCTATATAAATAATCCCCTAATAGCCTAATTTGATTTGACTTGAGCCTAAATTATTATGGTCTATCTCGGATGACTGACAACTTCCAATGAAGGGTTGCCACTATCAGTTGAAGGGTTGCCACTGTCAGTTCTATCCTCTCCACCTTCTTCACATGAGCCGACAGCTCAAACAATTTTGTTCCTACTAGATCCCTGACGAAAGAGCAAAAAAATTTCTTAATTTCATCTAAACAACCGACAAGCGACTTAGGGGATGTCCTGAGTCAGTCAGCTGCTTCCTTGCATGCTTCCGAAGGGACATTAGGGCGATGAACTTCACCATCCTCACGTGCGAGTTAACCACCTTCATTTGGCACCTGGTATGTTGTCACTAGGACCCCAATCATTTTTTCACCTACACCGATTAGAGTCGGATTGTCATCTAAGATTACCAAAGTCAGGTCATCTGCACAAGAAAAAAAAAAACATCATAAAAAAAAACTTGAAAGAAAAGATAAAATCTCATAAATAAGTCTAAAACCCCTCTTAATTATTATCCAATTCCAACAGATATTGTAATCAATGTGGCAGCCTCAATAGCAGATATTTATGAATAATGTGGGAGGTCATTAGAAGAAATTTGAGCAATCAGGTCAGTCATAGGGTCTTGTGTCATAGTAGAAAGTTAGGCAGTCAGATCATTGGTCGGGCCAGTGGACTGAGCATTCCTCTGCAGTTTGCCGAGGAGTGAATCAGATGACCCCACCTAATCTGACAATGCAAGTGCAATCAACGTTTTCATCATGACAACTTTTTTCTTCCTCTCACCTTCCAGATGGCACTGCTCTTTCAATTTCCTCAAGGCGAAGCAATCAGATCTTTGTTGGTGACATCACTATAGGTTTTTGAAGGGTTATCCATTGTATTACTCAATAATTGGAAGCCGCCTATTCAAATGAGGAAAGATCTGAAGCAAACAAAGAATGCAGAGTCTCGTCGCACCCTATTTATACTATTAAAGGCACGAAAATGACAAGAGTTCAATTATTGAACCATTAATTAAAAATTAAATGTCATTTACTTTTGCAATAATTTTTTTTATTCTTATCGCATCATTTAAAAGCAAGAGAATAAGAGAACTACAATATGTGCATAATAAAAATTTTGGCGTTTATCTTCCAGAGGTCTTGTGATTAAGAAGTGAGGAGTATAGTGAAGGCTAGCCCATTACTAGGGGATTGTAAGACCCACTTGACTGATCAAGCCAAAACATTCAAGCCGAGCCGACAAGGCCAAATCTGACCGAGTCACAAGGCATATCAGAAGACGACTGGATGATCCAAGCCCAAACTTTTCAGCTAGAAACGAGAATAAAAGAGTATCTGAGCCAACCACTACAGGAAAGCCAACTTGATGCAATAGCTACCCTATAGTAGAGCTGATCCAAGAGAAGGTCTCGTTCCACATCATCTTCAACTATCCCATGGAAGATCAAGAAGCTCTTCATTAAAGATCAAGGATCAACAGTCATACCATATCAATCGACCGACTCATACCGACCAAGCTCAACCAAATGAGCTAATCTCATCAACTCAAACCTAACTAAACTTAGTCGGCCAAGCCAAAAGTAGCCAAGCGACAAATATATTAATGTAAAATGTTAGAAATACCTTGGTGCATACCCGTTTAAAGCATGAGCAAAAATGTGATATCATCATTGTATCATCTCTTGTTAAATAGAAGAATTATTTTATAAATAAGACACCACATGTCGTTGTTCATTCTCTCACTATTTTTGACTCTGTCTCTCATTGTCTCTCTTTATTTACACTATATTCCTTTGATGTGATTCATGAACAAATCAGGATTCAACTTATACAAACAAGTGTTGTATTTGGTGTAACATTAAAACCTTTTTTTTCTAGTTGTGAGACGATGATTTCATTTTCATATTTGCGAACTTATGGTGGATTATCTTGACTGAGCTAGTTCTCATGCATTTTTTTCTTTTTTCTGGTTTTCCTATGTAAAAATTATTGTCTTCTCATGCTATTTCTAAATTATTTGTGAATTTGATCTTCATATAATACTAAAATATTAAATTATCACGCTACTGTCACAAATCTTTTAGCAATGAACATATCTAATTTTTTTTTTGTTATATTTGTATCATTTAAAGTTATTATATTATATAAAAAATATTATTATTTAAATTAAAAAATGAAACATAATTTTTTCATATATAAACATAAATAAGGTGATATGATGTGTATGTTAAAATTTAAAGTTTAGATGTGAGTTATAATACTACACTAGCGTTGAGCAATATTTATGTAAATCATTTTATAATTCATATGAGCGTATGTGGAAAAATATTATCTGAAGGTAAATCTGAAATGAAGACTTTTCCTCAACCTTTAAGGGCCTGTCGTCTGGCGACGGATTTAGAGCAGAATTTAGGCTATATTTAACCTAAATCTTGTGAGGCCGGTCTTTTCTTTTTTTTTGACAAAATACACCCTCGTATTTAATAAATTTAGATTTTGGCCTTAAGTTCCGGATTA